TTTACAGAAAGAATGTTTTCTATGCTAATGCCAACATGACCAATGGGTTATATGTCCTTGACTTGGACATGCCTGTCTATAACATATCAGCCAAGAGGAACAAACCAAACGGTTTGAACCAAACATACCTATGGCATTGTAGGTTAGGCCATATAAACGAGAAACGCATATCCAAGCTACATCAGTCGGGAATGCTGGAGTCATTTGATCTTGAATCATATGACACATGCGAATCTTGTTTATTGGGTAAGATGACCAAATCTCCTTTCACCGGACACGGTGAAAGAGCTGGTGATCTTTTGGAACTCATTCATAGTGATGTGTGCAGGCCTTTCAACACAACTGCACGAGTTGGTTATTCATACTTCATCACATTTACTGATGACCTCAGTAGATATGGCTATGTGTATCTCATGAAACACAAGTCAGAATCCTTTGAAATGTTCAAAGAATTCAGGAATGAAGTTGAAAAACAACTTGGAAAAAGTATTAAAACACTACGATCCGATCGAGGTGGAGAATACTTAAGTGGTGAGTTCGATGACTATCTTAGAGAGCATGGGATTTTATCCCAACTCACACCTCCTGGGACTCCACAATGGAATGGTTTCTCTGAAAGGAGGAATCGAACCCTGCTTGACATGGTTCGTTCTATGATGGGTCATTCGACTCTACCAGAATCATTCTGGGGGTATGCGCTGAGCACTGCAATATATACTCTTAATTGAGTTCCAACCAAGGCGGTTGAAGGAACACCATACCAGCTATGGACGGGCAAATGCCCTGTTCTGTCACACTTAAAGATTTGGGGCTGTGAGGCTTACGTCAAACGCCTTATGACGAATGGCAAGCTTGACGCCAAGTCTGATAAGTGTTTCTTCGTGGGATACCCTAAGGAAACTCGTGGGTATTCATTCTATCACCCTATCGATAAGAAGGTATTCGTTGCTCGCAATTGTGTCTTCCTCGAGAAGGAATTTCTCTCTAACGCAACTAGTGGGAGAAAGATAGAGCTCGAAGAAATTCGAGACGACGAAGAAACTACCGCGCCGGTTCAGGAACATGAGCTAGAGGAACAAACCATTGTACCTCAAAATGCTCAAGATACACAAGAACCCCGTAGGTCTAACCGGTTACGCACACAACCTGAAAGGTATGGATTCATCCTAACCTTTGAGGGTGACGTAATGCTTATCGACCAAGATGAGCCAGAGACCTACCTCGAGGCAATTAGTTGTCCCGAGGCTGAGGAATGGCGTCAAGCCATGCAGTCCGAAATGGATTCCATGTACACCAACCAAGTATGGACTTTGGTTGATGCACTCGAAGGGATCAAACCCATTGGGTGCAAATGGATCTTCAAAAAAAGACTGACATGGATGGTAAGGTACAAACCTTCAAGGCACGATTGGTAGCAAAAGGATATCGTCAAATACATGGTATCGACTATGACGAAACCTTTTCTCCAGTTGTCATGATTAAATCCAGCATACCACGATTACGAAATATGGCAGATGCACGTCAACACGGCTTTCCTTAATGGAAACCTCCTTGAGGATGTCTTTATGACACAACCTGAAGGGTTTTGCGCTCCTGAAGAATCTACCAAGGTATGCAAGTTGTTGCGATCAATCTACGGATTGAAGCAAGCCTCACGGAGTTGGAACATCCGTTTTCACGAAACCGTCATCGGATTTGGTTTTGAAAGAAATTCGGATGAATCTTGTGTATACAAGAAGGTCAGTGGGAGTGCTGTAGTCTTCCTTGCTCTGTATGTTGATGACATACTGCTCATAGGAAATGATATTCCTACTTTAACCACCGTCAAAACGTGGTTGAGTAAGAGTTTCTCTATGAAGGACTTGGGAGATGCCAGTTATGCACTTGGCATAAGGATCTATAGGGATAGATCACGGAAGCTGTTAGGTCTCAGTCAAAGTACATACATAGACAAGGTCCTCACTAGATTCAGCATGCCTGAATCGAAACGAGGAAGTTTGCCTATGGTCCAAGGCACGAGTCTTTCTAAGACTCAGGGTGCTTCCACTCCAGAGGAAGTAAAACGCATAAGAAATGTTCCTTATACGTCGGCCATTGGATCCATCATGTATGCGATGGTATGTACGAGACCTGATGTCGCCTTTGCTCTGAGTGTCACGAGTATATACCAATCCAACCCTGGCGAAAGCCATTGGACGGCTGTGAAGAACATCCTTAAGTACTTTCGTAGGACTAAGGATGCCTTCCTGGTATATGGCGGAAAAGAAGAGCTCAGTATTGTCGGATATACTGATGCCAGCTTCCAGACTGATAGAGACGACTTCAAGTCGCAGGCAGGGTATGTGTTTTGTTTGAATGGCGGAGCTGTTACCTGGAAGAGTTACAAGCAAGATACTACTGCTGATTCCACTACAGAAGCAGAGTACATGGCTGCAGCCGAGGTAGCCAAGGAAGGTGTGTGGCTCAAGAATTTTATTACTGAGCTTGGAGTGGTTCCTAGCATCAAGAACCTTATAGCGTTGTTTTGCGACAACAATGGGGCAATTGCACAAGCGAAAGAACCTAGGTCTCACCAGAAGACCAAACACATCGTTAGACGTTATCACATCATACGAGAAATCGTTGCATGTGGGGACGTTGAATTTGCAAGATAGGTACAGACGACAAGATCGCGGATCCGTTGACGAAGGCTTTGGGAAAGCCTAAACACGAGAGTCATACGTGGTCCATGGGCATTCTAGAAATGCTTGATTGGCTTTAGGGCAAGTGGGAGATTGTTGTATTTAGGTGCCCTAGCGGCAATCAAATACCTATGTAACTGTACACTTTATCATGAATGAAAGGCTCTGAAGTATGTTTTATATCTCGTGTAACATAACATAGCTTCAGTCCATAGACGATAGCGCTTCAGTAACATAGATGGGGACTACGATGTTCTAATTATGAGACTGTTACTTCTTGACGAAGGCTATGTCTAAAATATCCCTAGTCGCACTTTATGATAATACAGACATCATAACGTATCAAGACTAGTACATACGAAATGACATAGTTGCGTCTCATAGACTATAGATATTGTGATATCTTAATCTGTTCGTAGGTGCATATTATATTGATAATATGTGACTGGATTGACCCATCTTGAGAATACTGCATGGATCTACAGTAATGTGTTTATCAGTATTCTCAATTCGACCTTGCTATAACTATCCTAAGACTTGAAGTTATTACATTCTCTGATATGTGGGGCCGTATACTTTGATTCATAACTAATTCTATCTGAAATACTGGTAGACGTACAGTTATGCGTTGGGTATGCCGCTAAGCATATTTGGAGATGTGAATAACAGATACAGGATCTGTCCCTTCTACTGTATAGAAGTATAATGTCAATGGGCCCACTGAATAGTAGGACTTGGGAAAGTGCATGGCCATGCCCAGATATGTCGCTATCCAGAGACTGATAAATATCTGATCCCT